CCCCACCTTCCTCCCACAATTCCAGGCTGAGAGGGGTACATCATTCCAGAAGAAAGACCGAGATACTCAATAGCACATTAACAATTCTCCACACTTGGGAACCGAACTCGAGTCTCCTGTTTGTGACAGCGAAGTGCCTAACCGCTAGACCACAGTCACCTTTCATTTTACTCCCAAGACAGCCAAATGCATGAATGAAGTAATAAGGAGAAAGCATAGCCACCCCCTCGGCGAAACACACTGGATACAGTCTGGACAGAAGGAGCTCAGCTCGAATATTGTATTCTGGGAGGGAAAACAAGCACCATGCGGAAGGCGTGGGAATCATTTTGAGTAAGTAGGCACAGAAGTCACTCAGAGGATGGGAACCACACGGGGAGAGGATATCATGGCTTCATTCACTATCTATGTAAGGAGTAAGAGCATCAACATGAATTTAGTTCGGATCTATGCCCAGACAAATGATGCTTCGGGTGAAGACAAGGATGCCCATTACAGCCGGCTGCAGATGGGGTCATTGCACTGACAAACTTAAGTTACTGAGGATCAGATGGACAGACAGGGTCACCAACGAGGAAGTGTTAAGGAAAACAAGACAGATCCCAGTTAGAGACGAGATAGGAAGAAGGCGGTGGATTGGACATAGCCTCAGGAAGTCAGACAGCTGCATAACAAAGGAAGCATTGGGTTGGAATCCATAGGGTAAAAGATCTAGGGGAAGACCACGTGGAACCTGGAGAAGAATCACATAAATTGATGTACAGAAAAGTGAGAAGACATGGAATAACACTAATAGGCAAGCCCAGGATAGAGAAAGGTGGAAAGTGTGTGTTCGTGACCTAACCTGGTGCAGGGTGAGAAAGGAAATGATGATGATTGCCACCTCCCCCCAACCCCACCCCCCCCCCAAAAAAAAAACCCTCGGCAAGGAGCCCTAAAACTCTACGGAAACCTGGGAGATCAGCGACGAACAGCAGCCTTCGCACGAGAGACTGGGTTGTCCATTTAAGAAAAACGATAAGAAAGAGATTCAAAAGACAGCGTAGCATTATCTTTAATGTGGCTGGCTATTAAAGCCCTTCTAGTCACAAATAATATAATATAAGCATTCCAGATGACGCGCACACCATGGCACACGCAATGTGGCTATTTGGGGAGTTGCAAACTGTAAGATCCTTTGAGCAAAGAAAAGCACATCGACACAAGAAATGTCATTTTGTGTGCACTGTGGGCACTTGGCAGTTGCAAAAAAAAAAAAAACTAACAAAAAAAATATTAAAAATTCGTGTGTTTGAGCAAAGAGAAGCACATTGACCAAACAAATGCCATTTTGTCCACTGTGGCCAGTCGGGCGTTGCAAAAAATTCGTTTGCTTGAGCAATGAGAAGCACATGTCCACACAATAAATGCCATGGGAAATTAGCCGACAAACAGGCACGGACAGAAAGAGCTCTCTCTCTCTCTCTCTCTCTCTCTATCTATATATATAAAATTATATATGTGTGTGTGTGTAACAGACAGACAGACAGAAAGACACACAGACAGACAGACAGAGACAGGGAGAGGGAGAGGGAGAGAAATCAGAGAGAAAGTGACAGAGAAAGAAAGAGAATCAAATACAAGAGAGAAAGTCACAGACACACAGACACACAGACACACAGACACACACACACGCACGCACACACACACACACATACACACGCACGTGCACACACACACTCACTGACTCATACACACACACATACACAAGAAAGAGAGAGAGACAGACAGGCAGACAGACAGAGACAGGGAGAGGGAGAGAAATCAGAGAGAAAGTGACAGAGAAAGAAAGAAAATCAAATAGAAGAGAGAAAGTCACACACACACACACACACACACGCACACACACACACATA